AACTGACTTTTTTGTGGCATTGGTGCAGTAAAAGCTTCTTTCTGGCACCTCGACCAAACAGCTAATTTTTTTTTCAAGTATCACCGTATTGTACTCCTTAAAAACAACCACACCATCTTTTTCCAGAGCAGCCTGTATTTTTTTTCTTGTGGTTACCTATGGGTTTCCCTTTGTATCCCAAGCAATTCTTCTGGCAGTTGTGGCTGCAATCTTTCTTGGTCTACCTGTACTTGGCTTGGTATCAAGAGATCCCCGAACTTTCCACTTCTTAATAGGTGATTTAACAATACTGATTGGCATATTCAAGGCTTTGGACATATTTATTATGTCCTTTTCCAGCTTTATAAAGTTCCATTACCTTGTTACGCAGGACCTTTGACAGTTCTTTTCTGATCCCCATGGCTCAGTATCTAGCCTAGTCAGTGCTTCCATGTAAAAGCTAACAAACTCATTGACTATTTATACACTGACACTAATTGCAATTTAAAAAGCCAGAGATGTGGGACATTAACCTCTAATTGGCATGTTAACCTGTATGTGTCACCTTGTGTGTCTGTACCAAGGCCAAACATTCCAGGGTATTTAAACTTCTGATCATGGCCATTTGGGTGATTTCTGTAATCATTATGATTTAAAAAGGAGCCAAACAACATTTGATAATAAATGGCATCATATAAACATCATCCTTCAATAAAAGAGCATTATCATACTATCAAGATCATGCAGGCTCCACCTACGCAACATCTCTAAGATACGTACATTCCTCAACCCAGACACTACTAAACAACTCGTACACTCCCTCATCATCTCACGCCTGGACTACTGCAACTCCCTTCTCACTGGCCTACCCATAAAACGCTATCTCCACTCCAGTCGATCCTGAACTCAGCGGCAAGACTCATCCACCTCACCAACCGCTCCACATCCGCCACCCCCCTCTACCAATCCCTTCACTGGCTCCCGATTGCCCAGCGCATTAAATTCAAACTGCTAACTCTGACCTACAAAGCCATTCACAATGCCGCCCCAAACTACCTAACCGACCTAATACCCAAATACTACCCTACCCGTGCCCTTCGCTCCTCACAGGACCTCCTATTCTCTGGCTCCCTGGTCTCCTCCTCCCACGCCCGATTGCAGGATTTCTCCAGGACTTCCCCCATCCTCTGGAACTCCCTACCCCAATCCATCTGACTGTCACCTACCCTCCTCACCTTCAGGCGCACCCTGAAAACCCACCTCTTCAGGGAAGCCTACCCCACCCTCACCTAACAACTGACCTCCTCCACTCCTCCCACCACTCCATCCCCCACAGCCATTTCCTCCTGTACCACTTTCCCCTCCCTCCTAGATTGTAAGCTCGAAAGAGCAGGGCCCTCAAACCCCTCGTGTATTGTATTAATTCTGTCTTGTCTCATGTTCTGTCCCCCTTGCTATTGTACAGCGCTGAGCAAACCCTTTGGCGCTATATAAATACTGTATAATAATAATAATTATTTGGCATGATCAGTCATATTTTCACTATCAATGCCAAAATTTCACAATTTCTGCCACGGTATGAAAACTTTTGTACACAACTGTAGTGTTTACCGCCAAAGGAGCCACTGCTTGTATCAGGTTCTCTGTTCAGGTGTCACATATATACTAAAAGTTGTATATTTTAGCTAAACTACAGACACCTTACATGGTAGTTCAATGTAAGGAGCTTTAGGAGAGACAATCTGAGATATTCCAATAATCTTTCTTTCAAAATCAATGACTATATACAGCTTCTTAAATACAGCAATGTAGGCTTCTTAGTGGCTAGTTTCTGCACCCAGGATTATGCGCAGATGGGAAATTGATCTAAAAGAAAGAAAAAGAGGAGCATTTGTAAGGATCATTGTGACCCTGATGAAGTCACGAGGTGGGCATGGCGCAACGCGTCGGTACGTGGGGAGGAGCTTCCGGTGATGTCATTTCCGGCGTGGGGGCCATATTGGATCACCCTGTTGGGTACACCCATAGCATGTGGTAAAAAGCTGGAAAACCTATGGGCAAATGTGAGTGTAATACTTATTGTCGTTTAAATTTGATGCAATAAAAACCGGTTGCACTATGGAGGGTCTATGCTTGTGTCTTATCATGATCCTGTGAGGAGCTGGCTGTTAGTCTGTTGGAGGCTGGAGACGTGAGGGGAAAGCCTGAGAGGGACCCATTCTGATAGGATCACTTGATCCTCAAAGCGTGTTTGACCCTGTGGGGTCTAAAGAAGGAGGTGAGGGGGTATTTTGGCTGGTAAAGGATTGGCACGTGTGTACCACGTATACGGCACATTATATATTCTTGCATGAAGAGTGAAGTGTGAGGATCACCACAAATTATCGTATTACTATTATTATATCATTTTGGACTTTTTGAATTGATTATTTGTTCACTAATTTTGTGCACCAGTATACATATTGTTTCACAATGTGCAAATAGGAGTGTGTTTGTCACTTTTTTCACAAAATATTCCCCATGAGGGAATTCACGTATGACACAACTATTTTATTATTTATGTATTGATTTATCACCTTGGATATATATATGTAGGGGATGTATATAGAGTTTGTGCATTTTAACACGTAATTGTTAGTATTATTAGCGCTACACTATTTATTTTAATTAACCCAGCAATAATAGACCACCACACAAAAATAGATCCCTTCGGTGATAATAGATCCCCAAAAAGCCAGCAAAAATAGATCCTCTCCAGCACACCCCAGCACCTCTTGCCACTACATACATTCAGTGCTGGAGATCTGGAGATGCCGGTACTGCGTTCCCCTACATTCCTGCTGAAAAAAAGCCCTGATCTCTCTAACCATAGTCTAAAAATGACCACCGTGTTTAAAACAAAAATAATCTAGCTAACACTAAACTTGCAACAAAGTGAAAAAGAAATAAAAGGTTAATGTTCGTTTATAACATATTCAGTCTAAAAAAGTTTTCTAAAAATACCCTGAAACTAAAACAGGAGAGTATACAATACTGACTGCTTTCAGCTGAAACACAGCTTAAGCACCTGTAGGCTTGTGGAAGTTCTCTTTCCCATTTTACGTTCTTACTCAGCCATGTAGCAGCTGCTGCAAAGCAAACAGAAATGAAACTTAAGTAATGGTGAAAGTGGCGGGGAATTATCTTTGTGAAAAACTAATAGCTGGAACAATACTGCTCAACCAGACATTATTTCCAGCCCGCCTGCGCAGTTTGGCCTTATGTTTTTTATAGGAGGACCTACTGTATAAGTACTTTTTTGGTGCATCAGTGTAGCTTCACACATATTTGCTAATGTGTGCAACAAAAATTTTTTTATCAAAATGTCTAAAACAATGTATAATTAGGTTTTCTGTACTGACTAGCTGGATCAAGTTTGAGGGATATTTTGTGTTGCAGTGAGTTTTGTCCCACCCACATGCATCTTTTCCAAGCCAATTATAAATTGATTTCCGCTGAATACATTTCTTTTTTAGGTTAGGTTTACTCTTGTTGGGGGACAGTAAAAACATGTGGTTGAGTCACATTTGTACCACCCCTGAAACCACTCCCCTTAAGCTGTAAAAGGCAGTGGATATGGGTGTACACATGCCACATACTACGTTCAGTGGGTACTACTATCTGTTAAATGCACCCCATTCAATTAAATAAGGGTCACAGTGACCTACACCCATCTGCCCCCGGTACCTGTTTCCAAGGCTGCGCTACCCCGGGAGACATCCTACACATATGTGGACATGCCCTATGCTCTTCCGGTTCTAGTCAAAGGTCCTTAATCTCCTGCATTCATTAGCTCGCCCCTTCCCAAGGGACCCGTGGCATGTTCTTCTACATCTGAAGCCCCCGGGCCTTACAAAACACCAGTTTAACCCCTTTATGCCAGCGCCAGGTTTCTGATGCCGGGAGGCGGGGCAGGGGTTAGGGTCATGTGACCGCCGTGATTGAATGTCATGGCAGTGACATGATCGGAAAGGTCCCTATCGCAAGGAGAGATCGGGACCTTTCTGCGGGATGCCGACACCTGTGCTGGGAGCGTGCTGGGAGCGTTCTGGGAGCGCGCAGGGTGCACGCTCTCAGCATGTTTGTTTAAAAATGGTACGCAAGTATGCGACTGCTCGGTGTCAAGGCCCAGCCGCTGAGAGGCCGCATATTTGCGTACGCTTGGCGTGAAGAGGTTCAGCTGGCTGCATACGTACTATTGACAGCTAAACAAACTATAGCAAAAGCCTGGAAACAACAATTCATATCCTTTACGGAAGTCCATAGCCAACTAGATTTCTTCCTGGTTAACGAAAAACTCTCTAGCATTCTTTCAAATACCCACTAGAGATTTCTCAAAACATGGACTCCATGGATTCAACGCGCCCATCCTGCTATGCCAATAGGCAGCTTTACTTTGCTATAACTTCTGAGGACCCATAGTTTAGGTTTAAGTGCTTTTAATGTTTTCCTTTTGATTCTTTCCCCCCTTCTTCCCTCACCCCATTGGCTCTCCCGAAGGGATGATTTACGATGTGTTCTATGTATTTCTTGGTTTGACTGTACACTTTGTGCATTCCAAATGACACTTTCTTTCGCTATTGCCAGAGATTAGGCAATACAGTATCTGACAGAAGTGAGTACACCCCTCACATTTTTGTAAATATTTTAATATATCTTTTCATGTGACAACACTGAAGAAATGACACTTTGCTACAATGTAAATTAGTCAGTGTACAGCTTGTATAACAGTGTAAATTTGCTGTCCCCTCAAAATAACTCAACACACAGCCATTAATGTCTAAGCCGCTAGCAGCAAATGTGAGTACACCCCTAAGTCAAAATGTCCAAGTTAGGCCCAATTAGCCATTTTCCCTCCCCGGTGTCATGTGACTCGTTAGTGTTACAAGGTCTCAGGTGTGAATGGGGAGCAGGTGTGTTAAATTTAGTGTTATCGCTCTCACTCTCTCATAGTGGTCACTGGAAGTTCAACATGGCACCTCATGGCAAAGAACTCTGAGGATCTGAAAAAAAGAATTGTTGCTCTACATAAAGATGGCCTAGGCTATAAGAAGATTGCCAAAACCCTGAAACTGAGCTGCAGCACGGTGGCCAAGACCATACAGTGGTTTAACAGGACAGGTTCCACTCAGAACAGGCCTCATCATGGTCGACCAAAGACATGGTCAGCGTCATATGCAGAGGTTGTCTTTGGGAAATAGATGTAAGAGTACTTTTCCATATTGTGTTGCGCTCCTATTAATAAATATCTCTTCTGTACCACTTTTCCCTTAATAACACCCAAAATTAATAATGTATGATCAAATAGTCTAATTCACAAAAAAATATATATAAAAAATATGAAAAAGCACATGTGTATACAATTACTTAAAAAATCTTAATATAATAATCACTTATATGAAAAATAACTAAATGTGAATACTAATACACTCTTCAAAAGTACATGATGTTATAGCATAAACGTGATAACAAATCAATAATACACCATGATTAGTGAAAAAAAGAAGAAAAAATTATAAAAAAATATATATGATAAAAAATATATATATATAATATCAAAAAAATATATATATGTGTACTACAAATTAATAAATGTGTGAAAAATATATATAATAATGTCCTTATAATACAGTGACTCTGTGCTTGATTTAATCTTGAATCGGTGACTTTTTGTGAATCCGTGACTGTATATGAATCCGTGACTCTTTGTGAATCCTCTAATTAGTGCAGATGTATGCTCACCTCCTTATCTGCCTGCAATTAGGCTATATGCGCTTGTGGTTCACCTCCTATGGAACCTGCTTAGATGAGATTTCTCCTTTATAGATTATGGAATGTGGATATCCTTTACCATTGATTAACCCTTCCGGGATTAATCACTCCTTACGAAAATTCCAATCCCCTTATGCTCTCCTCTCCATGCGTTTCTCCATATGTGGGGACAAATTACCAAACATAGTGTTTTATCCTTTTTAAAAATTTCTGCTTTATTGCTTCCAAATGGTTCACTCACATTTGCTGTTTTCAATATAAGGCAATTTGTATGTAACGAGTCCTCCGCCGACCGTTGAGTCATGCACCCGCCGTCTGTCAAACAATCCGGCTTTCTCCGAGTGACGTTGCAGCCCCACCCCTACGCGTTACGCCACTGGTCACGTGGCTTCATCAGGGGGTTTGATAGCAAATGCAAATGCTATCAAAACCCCCTGATGAAGCCCACGTGACCAGTGGCGTAACGCGTAGGGGTGGGGCTGCAACGTCACTCGGAGAAAGCCGGATTGTTTGACAGACGGCGGGTGCATGACTCAACGGTCGGCGGAGGACTCGTTACATACAAATTGCCTTATATTGAAAACAGCAAATGTGAGTGAACCATTTGGAAGCAATAAAGCAGAAATTTTTAAAAAGGATAAAACACTATGTTTGGTAATTTGTCCCCACATATGGAGAAACGCATGGAGAGGAGAGCGTAAGGGGATTGGAATTTTCGTAAGGAGTGATTAATCCCGGAAGGGTTAATCAATGGTAAAGGATATCCACATTCCATAATCTATAAAGGAGAAATCTCATCTAAGCAGGTTCCATAGGAGGTGAACCACAAGCGCATATAGCCTAATTGCAGGCAGATAAGGAGGTGAGCATACATCTGCACTAATTAGAGGATTCACAAAGAGTCACGGATTCATATACAGTCACGGATTCACAAAAAGTCACCGATTCAAGGTTAAATCAAGCACAGAGTCACTGTATTATAAGGACATTATTATATATATTTTTCACACATTTATTAATTTGTAGTACACATATATATATTTTTTTGATATTATATATATATATTTTTTTATCATATATATTTTTTTATAATTTTTTCTTCTTTTTTTCACTAATCATGGTGTATTATTGATTTGTTATCACGTTTATGCTATAACATCATATACTTTTGAAGAGTGTATTAGTATTCACATTTAGTTATTTTTCATATAAGTGATTATTATATTAAGATTTTTTAAGTAATTGTATACACATGTGCTTTTTCATATTTTTTATATATATTTTTTTGTGAATTAGACTATTTGATCATACATTATTAATTTTGGGTGTTATTAAGGGACAAGTGGTACAGAAGAGATATTTATTAATAGGAGCGCAACACAATATGGAAAATTAATTTTATGTACACAGTGGTAGTTGTGTGTTGGGTGTGTGCGATCTAGATATACTTGAGACATACTGTGTCCATATTGGCGTCTTGGGGGGTAATTATTTGGTGGATACAACTTGGCTCGCAAGTCATATAGATATCGGCTCATAGATGTATGAGTACTGCCAGCATTGCTGCAGAGGTTGAAGGGGTGGGGGGTCAGCCTGTCAGTGCTCAGACCATACGCCGCACACTGCATCAAATTGGTCTGCATGGCTGTCGTCCCAGAAGGAAGCCTCTTCTAAAGATGATGCACAAGAAAGCCCGCAAACAGTTTGCTGAAGACAAGCAGACTAAGGACATGAAAAGGTATAATAAAATATTTACAAAAATGTGAGGGGGTGTACTCACTTCTGTAAGATACCGTAGGTGTATAGTCCCTTATCTGTTCCTTACGCTGGTTTATAGACACAACAAGGTTGATGTTAATTTTTTTTTTCATGTCAGTTACATTGTCACCAATTATAGGTATATTTTTTCTGTGCAAGACTGCTTTTGATTTTTCCTTATTGTTATATCTTACTTGTACACATGACAGCAGTTGCGTTTGTACTTTCTAAACTCAAAACTTCTTCAACTTAGATTGTAAACTCCACGAGCAGGGTCCTCCTATTCCTTCTAACTGAAATGTACTGTATTTGTACTGTCTCCCTTACATTGTAAAGTGCTTACCAAACTGTAAAAAAGACAAAAGTCCATCCAGTTCAACCATTAAAAAATTTAAGTTGTAATCCTATACCCACAGTTGATCCAGAGGAAGGCAAATCCCCTGGGAGGCAATTGGATATTCCCTGGATCAATTTTACCTATAAATGTTAGTATCCAGTTATATTCTGTGTATCTAAGAAAGAATCCAGGCCTTTTTTAAAGCAATCCACTGAGCTGGCCAGAACCAACTCTTGAGGGAGTCTATTCCACATTTTCACAGCTCTCACAGTGAAGAAATGTTTCTGTGTTTGGAGATTACATTTCTTTTCCTTCAGATGTAAAGAGTGCCCCCTTGTCCTCTGTGATGACCTCAGGGTGAATAGCTCTACCCCGAGTTCACTATATGAACCACTGATGTATTTATACATGTTGATCATATCCCCCCTTAATCTCCTCTTCTCAAGAGAGAATAAATTCAGTTCCTCTAATCTTTCCGCATAGCTGAGCTCCTCCATGCCTCTTATCAGTTTGGTTGCCCTTCTCTGTTCTTTCTCCATTTCAAAGTTTAAGTTTAAGTTTCTTTATATTCCAAAAAAGTGTGACAAAAAATTACAACTTCAAAAAACTCGTCATGCCTCTTACTAAATACCTTGGACTGTCTACTTTCCAAAAAGGGGTAATTTGGGGGATATTTGTACCATCCTGGCATATAAAGGCATCAAGAAATTAAGTAGGCTGTCATACATCAGGACTGATTGATTTTTAGATATATATCCTATAGTTTGTAGACTCTATTACTTTCCTACAGACTAAATAATAAACACTGCTTTGGGTTATTTTCACCAAAGAAATATATAGCAATATACAAATTTTGGCCTAAATGTATGAAGAACGATTATTTATTTGCAAAATGTTAAAACAGCTTTTATTGGATTTTTTAGTTTATTTAGCAAAAAATTTAAAAAACAGCGGTAATTACATACCACCATAAGAAACCTATCAATACAGCCTCATCAGTGCCTCCTCAGGAATGCTCACCAGTGCTGCCTCATCATTGCAGCCTATCAATACCCATTAGTGCTGCCTATCAGTTACCATCAGTGCTGCCTATCAGTGCTCATCAGTGCAGCCTCATCAACGTACATCACTGAAGGAGAGAAATTACCTGTTTGCCAAATTTCATAATATAAACTAAGAAAAACTTTTTTTTATAAATTTTTGACCTTTTTTGTTTATTTAGCAATAAATAAAACACCCTATGGAGGAGGAGAGGATTTGTTAAGGTGGAAGAATTAGTGCTTGGAGGGGGGATTAGGAGGAGATAGAATTTTTGCTGGAGGGGTATTTGGGGGAGGGAGGATTTGTTTTGAGAGGGGGATTTGCAGGGGGTGGAATATAGCAGGGGAGTACTGGGAAAGAAAGGATTTGTGCTAGAAGGTTACACCACCCAGACCCTTCAACTCTTCATTTTTTTACTCCTGACCCCTGCACATTACACACACCTGACACAAGCATTTTGTGCATTGTATACTTCTGACACCTGCATTACACACTCCTAACTCCTCCACTCTGTACATATCCCTACCCCCTGCAGTCTGTGCATTTTGTACTCCTAAACCCGACACTTACCACAACACTGTGTGTGTTAAAGATGACTGCACTATACAGTGCATACTATATTGTACATTACATGCTTCTGACCAAAGTACCGTATTTATTGTTTCAACTGTTGCTGGTTGCTAAGTATAATGAAGTTCTTCTTTAATGTAGGTTCAGAAAAAGTGCTAGGTCTCTGTCTATTTTCAGGGTACACAAAATCATATGTAATGGGAGCGTTTCATTTGTGAAAGAAAATATCACTGAAATAAACATCTCAAAAAAATTAAAGGAACGCTTTTTAATCAGAGTATAGCATCACTCCTGGGATATTTATTTGGTCAGTTAAGTAGCAGAGGGGGTTGTTAGTCAGTTTCAACTGCTTTGGTGTTAATTAAATTAACAGCAGGTGCACTAGATGGGCAACAATGAGACGACCCAAAAACAGGAATGGTTTTACAGGTGGAGGCCACTGACATTTTTTTCCCTACTCATCTTTTCTGACTGTTTTTCACTAGTTTTGCAATTTGCTAGGGTCAGTGTTACTATTGGTAGCATGAGGTGATACCTGGACCCTGCAGAGGTTGCACAGGCAGTCAATATGTCCCATTGCCAGAAGATTTGCTGTCTCTCCAGGCACAGTCTCAAGAGCATGGAGGAGATTCCAGGAGACAGGCAGTTACTCTAGGAGAGCTGGACAGGGACGTAGAATGCCCTTAACCCATCAGCAGGACTGGTATCTGCTCCTTTGTGCAACCAGATGAGCACTACCAGAGTCCTACAAAATTACCTCCAGCAGGCCACTGGTGTGAATGTCTCTGACCAAACAATCAGAAACAAACTTCATGAGGGTGGCCTGAGGGCCTGGTATCCTTTAGTGGACCCTGTGCTCACTGTCCGGCACCATAGAGCTCAATTGGCATTTGCCATTGGCAGGTCTTCCACTGGCGCCCTGTGCTCTTTACAGATGAGAGCAGGTTTGTCCTGAGAACATGTGACAGACATGAAAAGGTCTGGAGAAGCCATGGAGAATGTTATGCTGCCTGTAACATCATTCAACATGACCATTTTGGTGTTGGGTCAGTGATGGTCTGGGAAGGCATATTAATGGAGGGATGCACAGACCTCTACAGGCTAGACAATGGCACCCTGACTGCCATTATGTATCGGGATGCAATCCTTGGACCCATTATCAGACCCTACGCTGGTGCAGTGGGTCCTTGGTTCGTCCTGGTGCACGACAATGCCCAGCCTCATGTGGCAAGACCATGCAGGTAGCTCCTGGAGGATGAAGGAATTGATACCATTGAATGGCCCCCACACTCCCTGACCTATATCCAATAGAACACCTCTGGGATGTCATGTTTCGGTCTATCCAATGCCTCTAGGTTGCACCTAACACTATCTGGGAGCTCAGTGATGCCCTGGTCCAGATCTGGGAGGAAATACCCCAGGACACCATTCATCATCTCAGGAGCATTCCCCGACATTGTCAGGCATGCATACAACTATAATGGGGCCATACAAACTACTGAGTACCATTTTAAGCTGCTGCAATGAAATTTCAGCAAAATGGACTAGCCTTCTGCATCATTTTTTCACTTTGAGGTGTCTTTGAAATCAGTCCTCTGTAGGTTGATCATTTTAATTTCCATCAAACGATGGGGCATCCTTACGTTCCTATCACATTACCCAGCCCATATCAGTATAGATATCCAGCATAATATTTTTCCGCATTGAGATCTGATGTGTTTTGAAAGTGTTCCTTTACTGCTATATTGCTGAGTTTGGATGCTCAAATAGCTTTTGATCGCCTTAGCTGGCCCTATATGTTTATGGTCTTGGAGAGATATGGTTTCCGGGGCCTGTTTGTGACAGCCCTGAAGGTCCTTTACTCCTCCCCGTCCTCAGAGGTCAGATTGTCTTTGTTTCTTTCACCTTCTTTCAGGATGTCGAACGGTACAAGGCAGGGGTGCCCACTTTCCTATTTACTGTTTATCCTCTGCCTAGAGCCCTGGCCATTGCCATTCGATCTAACCCTGACATACGAGGGATACATTCCCATGGGCATGAATACAAATTGTCCCTATTTGCAGACGATATCCTTCTTACTCTAACTAGTCCTTGCACCTCTCTTCCGGTTCTTCATAAAACCTTACAATTATTTGGGATCCTGTCAGGCTACAAGGTAAATGCATCCAAAACCGAAGCACTCCCACTTCATATCCCACCCGACATGTTAACCTCTCTCCAAGCATCTTAGCAATATCATTGGTGTACCCACTCGCTGAAGTATTTAGGAACCAACCTTACTTCCTCCTACCATTCCATATACAGTATGAGGCTAATTTTCCCCCCCTATTTGTCGCTATTTCCCGTTCCTTGAAAGTTTGGGACACCTTACCTATTTCCTTTCTTGGACGTATAAATGTTATAAAAATGACCGTACTGCCCAAACTTTTGTATCTATTTGCAACTCTCCCCGTCCCCATCCCTATGCCCAAGCTACATTCCATCCAAAAATCTCTCTTACGTTTTATTTGGCACAACAAACAACATAGAATTGCACGTACTGTACTCATTTCTTTACGCTCTAGGGGAGGCTTGGGAGTACCGGATATTGTGACCTATTACTATGCCACCCACCTACGTTTTTTAATCTCCTGGTCCACCAGACGCCCTTCTAACAAATGGACTGAGATTGAAACCTTACAACTTACACCGACCCATTTATGCTCTCTGCTCTGGGATATGTCAGCGGTGGCCATCGCTTCTCAGGGTTAACCCTCAGGAAGTCACGCGTTACCGTGACACAACGCGTCAGAACACGAGGAGGATTCTGGGAGTGGCGGGTGACGTCATTTCCGGCGTGGCGGCCATACTTGAAATCCCTGTATCTAAATACCCATGCAGGAGATTCATAGCATGGGGTATTGAAGGCTTGTGAGGAGAAGAATTGAAATGTGATTGGGCAATTTTATTATATATTTATTTTGGAAGAATAAACAGGATTACACTATGTGAGTCTTTTGTTTATATATGAACCGAGGAGGAGACTGCTG